GAAAACTCAAATGACATAAAAAAGCTCTTCACAGAATTAATGACAGAAAACTTCCCAAACAGAAGGGAAGAATTAGACATACAGATAAGTGAGGCATATAGAACCCCAACTAGCCACGATCAAAAAAATCTATATCTACACATATAATAATCAAGATTCCAGAAATCCAACAAAAAAACAAAATACTACAAGCAGTAAGAGAAAAGAAATAAATCACATGCAAAGGAAAGCCCATTAGAATCACAGCAGACTTTTCAACACAAACCCTTAGGTCAAGGAGAGCCTGGAGTGAGGTATTCCAAGTACTAAAAGAAAGGAATCTCCAACCTAGACTGATGTATACTGCAAAACTCTCTTTCAAAATAGATGGGGAAATAAGATACTTCCACGACAAAGAGCACCTGAGAAATTTCATGAACACCAAACCAGCACTGCAAGGAATTCTAAACAATATCCTAGAAAAGGACAACGAAGTTCACAATAACATGAGACCCAACAGACCAAATCAAATAGGCAAGGCAAGAAACTAAAAGGAGATGGGAGAAAAAGTAAAAAGAGTCAACAAAAGGACAATAACATGATAAGAATAAGTCAGAATATATGTTATCACCATCAATGTTAATGGCCTCAATTCACCAATCAAGAGAAATAGATTGGCAGAATGGATTAAGAAGCAAAATCCAACAATATGTTGTATACAAGAAACACACCTAGTGCAAAAGGAAGTCCATAGACTGAAAGTGAAAGGATGGAAAACAATTCTCCATGCGTCAGGAGTCCAGAAAAAAGCAGGGGTAGCAATCTTATTCTCAGATAAAGTAAATTTCAAACCAAAACTCATTAAGAGAGACAAAGAAGGACACTACATCCTTGTAAAGGGAACAATTCAAGAGGAAGAGCTGACAATCATAAACATATATGCACCAAATATAAATGCCCCCAACTATATAAAACAAATATTAAGTAACATGAAAAACCAAATAAGCACTAATACAATTGTAGTGGGGGAT